GGCGAGCTAAGAAAATGTTTGTCTCTCTGAGCTTGGCCTTCATAATTCCATTCCATCACAAATGGGTAGGGTATGAGAAATGCAGTGTATTATTTATTTAACAAATTTATATAGCCATGTATCTACTGAAGTAGCTCTGGGTGGCGAATAAAAGAAATAAAAATGCAACAGAGGAATCTATTAAAAATACAAGTCAAGGTTGCTGTAAAAAGACCTTATCAACAAGCTCATTCATTCTGATATGGATACAAAAGGAAATAAAGATTCACTTTGTTCTTCTTTCTTTTTCTGTAACAGAAGCAAGCCAGCTTCACCAAAGAATCACAGAGAGCGTGTATCATGCACCAATGAATTCATCCAACTCCTCCAGGTATGGGACACCCAAACAGTGTGGCCTAGAGTCTTCCTATGGCTTGTCAGCAGTTCTGGTGGCTTCTGAAATTGGGGGTAAAATGTGGCTCCTAGTTCCTCAAAGGTGCCAGCAGGGGAATGCATGGTTGTAGATGTCATCTTGACTTCTTTTTGACCCCCCATCTGCAGATACGTCTGTAGTTTTTGCATTTGTGGGGATCTGGGTGGGAAATGAGAAACTAAATACTCCATTGAGTTGGGCGGCTTATAATTTAAACAAATAAATAAGTACCTTAATTCTTTCGGGTGCTTAAACACCCATGGCATTCCTTGAAAACCCCTGAAATGCCCTCCCCAAAGTGCCCTGGCCCCACCCTCTTTTGGAATACAGCTTCCAACACCCCAGACAGAGCCTGTGTGGCCCTTGAGATGTCAAAGTTATACATTCTGGACTCCAAGATAATGTGCTATTGCACAGGCTGTCCTGAAACAGCACAGCTGTCCTACAGATCAGCTTTTACTGTTCCTTCTACCAAAGATCAACTTTGCATTTGATTTTGCTTTACCCATGTGGACCAAAATTTATTTCTTTACTTATTTATTTGCTAGGGCTTATATGCTATTCTAATCAAAAGACGGTCCATCAGTTACTGTTAAAATGCAGTATCAATAAACAAGCAGAAGGCCACAATTACATATCAGTGGTGCAGTTCATACTCCTTCACAGTCATCCGGCTCAAGAGCCATTCATTTATCCCAGTCTAGGCTTCAGTCACCTTCCAGAACATTAGAAGGGACAGGGCAGCGCTTATCTCCAGGGTGGGTTGTTCTGGAGGAGATGAGCTTCTAAACTAAAGGCTTGACCTCAAAGTCCCTGATGATATTCCCTGGAGATCAGGACCTGTAGCAGCCCCTTGTTACTTGATCTCCCTGGGTGGGCAGTTTCCATGTAGAGAAAGTGGTCTTGCAGATACCCAGGGCCTTGAATCATGAAGGACTCTAAAGGTAACAACCAGGGCCTTGGATTGCACCTGGAAGCCTATTGAGAGAGGTGACTAGTATTTTGGAAGCATTTCCTCCAAGTTATGTCAGGTAGTAACCTATACAGAAGGAGAGGCAGCTCCTCTCTTCCTCTTTGGGATATGCACTTATTCCTTAGGATGCCAAAGAAGGTACATATCTTTCCTGTAGCTGCAAAATCTGGGCAGGGAAGCAGAGTAATTGAGATGTTGAAGAGTTCTCAGTAGAAGAGCTGATCTCTCCAGGGTTCTACCAAAGAAACTGGTAAGTAACATCATTAGATAGCTCTCCATCCATCGGATGGTGAGCCAGATTATACAGGCTTGATCTACAGCTACTAACAAGAACTTATTTGGGTTTCTCCTACAGAATAAAGCAGTACAGTAGAACATCTTTTATCTTGACATATGATCAGGCTGTCAGATGTAATTTAAAATAAAAGGAAAGATTCTGAAGGAAAGATGAAGCCTTGGAAGCTATAGAAAATGGCATACAGGGATTAAAGGATCTGTAACACTTTTCTGATTGTGGGCATTCAGTCTTCAGTAGGGAAATGAATTTGCTGGATTTTGATTTGTTACAGACAAGAGAAGAAATTCAGAGAGGAAAAATCCACTGTGTCCATTGAAATCCAAAGAGAGCCTTAAGAAAAAACTTTTATGACATGACATGACATTCATATCCTGTTTTTTTTAGGATTATAGTGTTGCAAAGTGAATTACATCTTCGTTTCATCTGCAGGCCTATGTGTTAAAAAAAATGAGACTCACAAGGGAGTGGGAACAGATAGCCAAGAGCATTTTCTGTGTGTGGCATTGACTCAGCTAAGTGTTGGCGATGTTGTCCTGAGGATTAAGATGTCCAGAGGTGTAAATTGATAGATACAGAAATATAAATACAGAATTATGGAACTTTATTTACAGATTTCTTAAAGGTGGACCAATTAAATTAAAAAGTATGACCAAGTTACATGTGCACAAATATGCAGATAGTTGAGGACTTTAGTTGCAGTCCAGATAATTCCTCTGACTCTAGCAAGTAATAGCACCTCACTAATCAAACCTAACAAGAATACCCAGAAAATGGACCTGGGGCCTTTTGTTTGAACTAACCAGGCTCTTATGTTGCAATTCACCTAATAGGCCTAAATAGGTAATTTAGAAGTTGAGGGAATCTCCTGGTATTTCCTTTGTGGCTGTTGAGCACTGTCTTCATGGTGACCATATGGAGAATCATAATCAACAGAGAAAGGAAGCTATGAGCAGGACAGTCATGTAGTTAGTTTAATAGTGGTCTAATTCAGGCTTTCTTAACGTCATGTTCTTCAAATTCATTGCCTTTGGCTGTAATGACAGAGGATCTTGGAAGCTGGAGTTTGCCTAAGAGTAGGAAACACTTAGAAAATTCTGAGTAAGCTATCCCTACTTGTTTTATGCCCATCACTGGACCTCAGCAATGGGCTGGCAATGAGTCAAAGACGATGTCATGAGGACCTGGCAGAAAAAAAGAAGTTGCCAGGCATGTTAGCACTCCAGTTAGAGGGATGTGAGGAAGAACACCCCAGACATTGTCTCATTGCTTCAACTTCAAATTCTCCTTAGCTGTTCTCTGAAACTGCCCTCCATGGTTATTTTTTTTGGCTTGGGCTGCAGGAGAGATTGGAGATCCAGCTTCTGCAGCCGCAGATGCCTTTCTGATGCCTGACTGGTGCTTCCCATAGCATTTGTCCGGTCTTATGCAGGCTGCTGATAAATGCAAGTTGAGACCTATTTTCTAAGCATGGGCTTAATGCTTTATTGAAAAAGCACTGGTCCTGTGCTGCACAGAAAGCCAATTTGGAAAGCTTAGGCCAGTTGGACGTTACAAGTTCTGTTTCCACTGGGTGCATTACAGAATGTTTGCTGATTCTGCTGATAACGGGATTTGTGTGGCCATGTTTTTTACTATTTCTGCCACTTTTATTATTTTTGAGGACTCACACATGAGCATTTCAAGTGTTGGTCAGTGTTTTTCAGACTTGACAACTTTAAAATGTGTGGAGTTCAACTCCCAGAATTCCCCAGCCAGAATTCTGGGAGTTGAACTCCACGCATCTTAAAGTTGTCAAGTCTGAAAAACACTGACCTAACTGGTCATCACTTCCAGGGGCTATCTCACAGAGCTGTAGTTTCCATGGCCGTGTCTGCAATGTACCACAGTTACTGATGTTGCCTTTGGTGATGGGGGCAGCCTTTCCTTCTCCTTCTCCTTCTCCTTCTCCTTCTCCTTCTCCTTCTCCTTCTCCTTCTCCTTCCCTACTTAGAGGCCACCCCAACTCCAAAGGAGCTTGGAGGCTTACATTTTAATAGCAGGAAACAGTACAAATTGAGAAAGAAAGCATGCACGTCCAGAAGAGAGAATCATATATAGCAGAAATAAAAACAAAAAAATAAAACCAATGGGGGCTCAACACTCACCCAACCCCAACGCCTGGGAGAACAACCAGGTTTTCAAGGACGTTTGGAACATATTCAGGGTGGGAACCATACACATCTCTGGTGGGATGCAGTTCTAGAAGGCAGCATTGCAACAGATTTTGCTTCCTGAATTCCAGCTTTGGTAACAGTAGATGTGGTGATGACTGTTGTCATTAGGCACAGGACGATCAGAACTGTATAATTCTGGAAATTCATGCTGGTTCACATGATCTCCATGGCCATCCACTGGCTACTTCTAGGTACTGCCAGGCAGAAGTTCACTGATCCTGTTATTGTGGCAGAATTGCGATCAGCAATTAGGGCAGCAGATTTTATGTAAATGTCTTTTTTGGATGGAT